CATCGGGGATCCCCAGTGGACCTCTGACAAAAGACTATGCGATGCAGCTTCGATGGGCACCTGAGTGATGGCATGTGGGACTTTGACCTCCCCCCTACAGCATTCACTATGGCAACCCCCACTGTTGGAGGCCACTACCTTAGGGTCAGAGGTGTGTGGTGTGCCTCTGGTCGTGGGTGTGAGAGCTCTCGAGCGTTGGAAAGGGAGTCAAAGCGAACCACCACTTCCTCTGTGAGGTTGGCTGCTGCTGCCGCAGGCGGGAACCCTACCTGACCATGAAGGGCACAGTGGCAGGGAGTTAGGATATGGGGTATGGGTCATGAGGTGTGAGGCATGGGGCATGGGTCACAGGGCAACAGAGGGTCGGAAGAGAGCAAGAGGGATGAAGGGGAGAAAGGCAACGGAGGGGCAAACCAGGGGCGAAATCGGAGGGGCGGGAGCTGCGGAGAGAGGGAGGTATGGCAGGAATGGAGCGAGGTAGAACGGGGGAGGAAGAAAGGTGAACCAAAGTAAGGGAGATTGATTGGAAGAGGAGAAGAGGCAAAGAGAGTATGGGCCATGAGGTATGGTGTATGGTATAGGGGCATGGCGTAGGGAGAATGTCGCATGGGGCAACGGGAGGGAGAGACATGGGGTATAGGGCATGGGGATCGAGGAAACAGAGGGCAGGACACGTGCGGAAAAGGAGGGAAACAAGGGAGAGGCACAGTGGGACGGACTATAGAGGAAGGGAGGGAGGGTAAATGGGAAAAGCGCATGAAATGACATGGGGGAAAGGGAAAGGGAAAGTGGAGAGGCGATGACGGAAGGGGCGAGAGGCGGAGAGGATCGGGCCCAAAGGGGAGGGAGTGACGGGAGCGACGTGGGCGACGTCTCCCATTCCCTTCCGCCTTCCATTTCCCCCCTTCCCCCCAACATTCACAATGCCACATAGCCACGCAAACACGCGGCCATCAACTGCACTCTGCGTCACGGGAATGCACGCCAGTTGCATTAGTGGTAGACGGAAGCGGCGGGAGAGGGAGGGGGTGGGGGAGAGGGAAGGGAGGAGTGGGACAGTGAGGAAAGCAAGTGACTGGAATGATGAACAGGATTGATGTAGGCAACAGGCGGGAGTGAGTGAGGCAGGAGGGGAGAGAAGGCTCTTCAGTCCCCCTCCCAATTCTTCCCGGTGAATGGACAGATGGAAGGAAGGAAAGACGACGAGAAGGAAAGGAAGGGGAGGGGATGAGTGGGAAGGGAGGCGAGGCGAAGACAGAGAAGGGAAGGAGGGGGACAGAGAGGGAAGTGAGGAGAGGAGCGGAGAGGGAAGTGAGGAGAGGAGCGGAGAGGGAAGGGAGGAGAGGGGAGATGGGAACATGTGTGAGCATGTCGTGTGTGTCGTGTGTGAGTGACGGGGAAGATGGGCAGAGGAGGAACCGGGGGGAGCGCAAAGGGGGAAGAGGGTAAGAGGAGCAGATATGAGCGACATGTGTTAGTGAGTCACGTGTGAGCGACATGTGCGAGCGACGTGCGTGGGTGATGGGAGTGAGAGAGCGACAGTCACTGAGTGAGCGAGGGAAGCGAGAGCGCGACGGAAGTGAGAGAGCGACGGGAGTGAGAGAGCGACGGGAGTGAGAGAGCGACGGGAGTGAGAGAGCGACGGGAGTGAGAGAGCGACGGGAGTGAGTGGGCGGCGGGAGAGAGAGAGAGCGACGGGAGAGCAAGCGCAAAGAAGTGAGAGAGCGACGGTAGAATGAGCGCGATGGGAGCGAGAGAGCGACGAGAGTGAGAGCGCGCCGGAAAGAGAGCGACAGGAGTGAGAGCGCGACGGGAGTGAGAGAGGGACGGGAGATGAGAGGGCGGCGGGAGTGAGAGAGCGACGGGAGTGAGAGCGCAAAGAAGTGAGAGAGCGAGGGTAGAATGAGCGCGACGGGGGCGAGAGAGCGACGAGAGTGAGAGCGCGCCGGAAAGAGAGAGCAACGGGAGTGAGAGGGCGGCGGGAGAGAGAGAGAGAGCGACGGGAGTGAGAGCGCAAAGAAGTGAGAGAGCGACGGTAGAATGAGCGCGACGGGAGCGAGAGAGCGACGAGAGTGAGAGAGCGACGGGAGTGAGAGTGTGACGGGAGTGAGAGCGCGACGGGAGGGAGAGCGCGACGGGAAAGAGAGTTTGACGGGAGAGAGAGAACGACGGGAGTGACGACGACGGGAGTGAGGGCGGGCCTTGAGTGATTGCGGACCGGCATTGAGTGCGGGCTAGGTTACCCTTCAGCGGCGACGAGTAAGTCTCACGGTGGCGAACAATCTGAGGGTCATGCCTTCCAAGCAATGTACGAGATCGGATGTGTTATGCGCGAAAAAGTCGCCGGGAAGTTTCGTCTTTATGTGCTACAAAAGTCTTAGCATACGGCAAGCAGATGGGCGCAACTATGCTGACTATTGACGAGAATATGGGCTATGGAGCCTTCTATGCTACGAGTCTAGAAAGGTAATGTCGAGTTTCAAGTTCTGAAAGTGTGAACAGTGATACTTGCCTTTGTTTGTTTCTGGCGAGGCTCGTCCGTGTTTTTGCTGTGGGGCATTTGGCCAATCACCTTCTGGCCCACCAACTCCCTTCCCGGTGGGTAGCGAGAGCTCAGCTTTCTGAACCTGGTTACCCTGTTCTTGACGAAAACAAGTTCAAGAATCTTGAAGTTGAACGTTTGCCATTATGACTCGGGCTTTAAGGGCGGCCCTTTACATCGTAAAACAATTTGGTAGAGTATCAAGGAAATGGCTAATTTTATCACCCACATGTTATACTTTTTTTGTGTTTCAAATATACTTCCGACTGTTCACATTGATTCCACAGTTTCTACTATAGGTGACGCTCAACTGCTGCCCACAAATTTGTCCTGCCTACAATAAATTTCCTATACACGAAGAACTGGTGACGGGAAGGTGCATCTGTTTTACGAGCCCCCCTGAGCAAGTTGCACAAGGAAGACAGTTTGTCAAACTTGTCAGAGTGGGGACCTCGGAAAGGATAGGTTCGCTTTAGGGAAAATCTATAGTGGAAGTAGTTGTGATAGAAACTTTGTACATTGTAAATGTAGATAAGATTGTTTGAAAGGTGAAATTGTACATAATAAATATATCTAACTAGTTATATACTGTAAGGGGTACATCCGTTTATTATAATTATTTCAGATGGATTTCTATAGTAAGTTTGGCTATTGCTCTTCTCCTGTTATTGAGTCGCGTGTGTAACTGTATGGACATTTACGCCTGTTGCCATTCTTCACTGGCAAGCCGTTAGGTCCAGATGGTAAACAGTCGCGACAGTTGACATTGCGATTGTCGACCTTTCTGCCCTTGTAGAGGCTAATCCAATACTACTGCTGACGCTGCTTCGATAGTGACGGGTGCGATACAGCTGCACATACGGGAATGCTTAAGCCGATTCCCTTCTTACTCCAACAAAACTGGCAACGTGTGGAAGAAAATAGGCAACGGAGAGATGACGAATCAATGGTAACGAAGGGACCGATGCACATCAAAGTATGCCAACCTTCATTTTTTTTGCAATAAAAAACCGTGTAACTATTCAGTTTGTTACTAGCCCAATTTTGCTAGCTGCGATGCCGACAAAGCCTCGCAAAATTCATGAATTTATCACTCATAAGCCAAGTATAGCAAGTATGGGGAGTTCAGTTGAACATAAGCTGTACGTGAAACAGAGTGTAAAAGGAAGAAGCTGGCAAGATGACATGCGTCGAAGGGGATTGTCAATATGTAACAGAAGTTTGTCATTCCCCTCCTGTCGCGTCCGGGAGGCACCCTTTTAGGGGACGGTCTGGACTGAGGCGTAGTACAGTATCTGTTCTGAATGTTTGTCAAACCTGAAGTTCTGAACAAGGGCGGGCAATTGCAGTGTACATGATTGTTGAATAAAGGATTACAGCGGCTTCAGGTAGCCGATGTGGGACTTTTTGGGGGCTTCGTGGGACTCCACAAAGAAACGAGTGACACGGGTGGGATTCGTAACGGCTCAAGTCACGGGGGGATTGTTGCCCGAGAATATTTTTCGAAAACACGATGGTCTCTCGAAAATTAGTGTCCGTAAGCAGCTCGTTTTCTTTTTACTTTGCGGAAACATTGGTTGTCATAAACCTGTATTCTTTTTTCCGTTTGTTTGATATGTTGTGGTGTCTCCACTCGGCATGTGAGTGACCCTCATGTTGTTTTGATACTCTCAGTATTATGTTTGATGAAAGGGAATCTGCCTTTATACACGGTATTAACCTCCCCAGACAAGGTCCACGAATGCTGCTTCCGGGTTGACCTCCAGACACAGTCCTGCACAGTGCACATCCCCGCGGTTGTACGAACAAACACGGACTGACAATGAGATGCAGCCAAGCCAAGCCCACCCGCATGAACCCTACTCGATTACAGAGAATCCCATTTCATCCCTTGCAACCCCTTTCGGGACCAACATAAGTCTTTAGGGCGGGTCATGTTTGATTGAACCTGTTTCTTTAGTGCGGTCAAGTACGTCAAAAAACGATACCATACGGTTTGCTTTGGTGGAAAATTAGAATCGTCTTCAACCCCTCCCTAAAGCACCGAACCGTTACCCGTCCTTACTGTGCAGTTCTGTCCATTTCCCGCGTAGAGCAGAGAACGCTGCAGACATCCCTTTCTGTTCAGATTCGCTCCAATCCAATAACAGAGCGAACTGACTGACTGAACTCAACGCGTTTCTTTTCACGCGGTTCAGTTAGGTTCCTCACGGTATCCGGGCTGAAACCCCTTGGACCCCCTCTATCGCTGTGCCATCTTCTCCAAACTCAGCAAAAATTCTTTCAGTTTCTAGGCGCGTCCTTGGCAAGAAAAAGAGGCTGCTTTCGAAACGCGGTTTTCGCAGCGAAGTGGCGAGCGGTGGTATTAACGATGGGGATGGCTATGGCGGCAGCCATGTGTGGTCGAAGTACTACTACTACTGCTAGTAGCACGTCTAGAAGGCCCATGAAAAAGGCGATGCGATTGAAAACGAAGATGAAGGTTCATGTCGGGGCTGTGGTGCTGCTCGCAACCGCTTGCATTACCTTCGCCGCTTTCGCCGGTGAGAGTTTTTCGACAACTTTCTTGCCGCATATAGTAAGTGGATCGTTATCCGCGAATGGCTGACTCGCATCCAGGCGGGGTGGGAATGCGACCGGTCTCCGGATCATGCCATTTGCGATCATACACAGGTTCTGAAAACCCGATCTGCGTAAACCGCCACTTCCGAGTGTGAATATAACCGACCTGAAGTGAGCTGCATTGAAACTGCTGAATACTTCCTCGCTTTTTTACGGTGCAACTTGGTATTGACAATCCGGTGGAGAATGGAGGGTCCTCAATGCCTCATTGATTAACGTGAGGCTGAGACGCGCTTTCAAGGTCCTTAATACAAACGAGATTCAAGGGATCAACCGAAAAATGGTTGATGATTGATGTCAAGGAACGGATTAGAATAATGTCAGAACGATCAGGATCTCGCATCCATTTGTCCGCTAAACTCCCCCCATTCCCCACATTATCCCCGTTCTCCCCATCATTCCCATGTCCTCTGTCCCCACCACTCCTCATTTGCCCTCCGTTCCACCCTGCTCCCCCGTTTCTCCCTCTAATTTCTCCCCAATGCGTTATTCCCCCACCATTTTCCGCGCATTCCCCCCCCCATTCTCCGCGCATTCTCCCCGCATTCTCCCCGCATTCTCCCCGCAGCCTACCCCTCCGTCGCGCATGTCAGGCTCCCCGGTTCTGCGCGCAAGGTTCTCCGCGAACTGCTGGGGGACAGCGTTTCCGCCGCCAATGCACCCCTGGCGGGGGCCGACGGGACCGGGAACGGTTATCATGGACGCGATTCGGTGGAAGTGAAAGAAGCATGCGAGTATGTCGTTCCTGATACCACAGATACACGAATTTCAAGGCGTCGCTGTCGCTTTCACGTCTACCTTGGTCCGTTTAGGGCTCCGTCCGCCCTCGCTGCTTTCCCCGTCCGTTCTCGCTGCTTTCCCCGTCCGCCCTCGCTGCTTTCCCCGTCCGCCCTCGCTGCTTTCCCCGTCCGCCCTCGCTGCTTTCCCCGTCCGCCCTCGCTGCTTTCCCCGTCCGCCCTCGCTGCTTTCCCCGTCCGCCCTCGCTGCTTTCCCCGTCCGCCCTCGCTGCTTTCCCCGTCCGCCCTCGCTGCTTTCCCCGTCCGCCCTCGCTGCTTTCCCCGTCCGCCCTCGCTGCTTTCCCCGTCCGCCGCCGCCTCTCCTCCCAACACCCCACATTCCCCTTGAAGTCATGCCACGACATTAAGTCCTCTGAAAAGCCTCCCACCATCCCCTCTTCTCCTCACCTCAACCCCCGAAACCCCGCGTTTTCGCGTCCCCTCTCTCCCCTCCCCCATCCCCATCCCCCTTCTCCCTTCCCCCTTTCCCACTCCCCCTTCTCCGCCCCCAGCGCAGGGAGATCTACGGGCTGCTGCCGTGCAGCAGCAGCGTGGCGGGCAGCACGTTTCTCATGGCGGCCTACGGCTACCTCATGCACGTCGCCTACCCACGTACCCCCCATTCTCCCCTCTTCCTCCTCCCCCCGACGCCCTCACCCCCGGATCCCCCCGTTTCCGCGTTCCCCCCACCCCCCTCCCCTTTCCCCCTTCCCCCCACGCCCTCCCCCTTTCCTCCTCTCTCCCCTCCCCTCTACCTCCCCCATGCAGGGAGATCTACGGGCTGTTGCCGTGCAGCAGCAGCGTGGCGGGCAGCACGTTCCTCATGGCGGCCTACGGCTACCTCGTGCTCGTCGCCGCGCAGCTCATCTCCGATGGCTCCGAGCTGCTGCTGCAGGTGCGCGCGCAGGGCAGCGCGGGGGGGGGGGGGGAGGGTGGAGGAAAGGGGAAGGAAGGGCGGAGGGGGGGAAGGGCGGGGGGGGGAAAGGAGGGAGGGGGAGGGTGGTTTGAGGCAGCTCCGGAAACGTCCCAGTTGGGGTTAGGGGTTGTACCGCCAGTCTAGGGAAGTAGGAAGACGAGGAAGGTAACTGTGCCTGCGGCTCTTTCATCTGCGACTCTTTCCCGGTAATTGTATCACGCCCATTCATCTCCCTTTCCCTGTGCGTTCAGGTGCTTGCCCCGGGGCTTATTGGCGGCCTCCTGTTGCCTGTGCTGGGCGCTCTGCCCGACACACTGCTCATCTACACTGCTGCTCTGTCACATCCCGCTCTCGTTCATCTCTCTCGCTCCTCCGTTTGTGTTCATGCCGTGTGTGTTGTGCGTGTAGGTGCTTGACCCGGGGCTGATAGGCGGCCTGCTGTTGCCCGTGCTGGGCGCTCTGCCCGACACACTGCTCATCCTCGTACGTCCTCGCCTACCCCTCGCGCTCTCTCGCGCTCTCTCACTCCTCTCGCCCCTCTCCTGCAATTGCTGAGGCGTCATTGCGAGTGGGCTCTTGTTGCGACCTCTTTCCCCACCTTCCCCTTCGCTCCTCCCACTCAACTTCGTTTTCCCCGGGGCGGAGGCATGAGAAGGCCAGCTGGCGGGCAGCACCATCATGATCCTCACCGTCACCTGGGGCGGCTCCCTCATCTGCGGCCGCTGCCACGCGCACCCCATGCGTCCCACACGCCACACGCCGCACCCAGCCCACGCTCCCCATGCCCCACGCCCATTCCCATACCCCATGCCTCACACGCCCATCTCCCACCCCTCCCCAACCCCCTCCCCCCCCCCAGGTGTCAGGCTTGGGAGGGACGAAGGAGGAGGCGCAGGAGCAGGTGCTGGTGGGGATGGGCGTGCTAGCAGGCAGCACCATCATGATCCTCACCGTCGCCTGGGGCGGCTCCCTCATCTGCGGCCGCTGCGACCTCATCGAGAAACCCACCCGCCGCGACAGCAGCAGTGCTGGTGCTCCCGGTCGGCCTGGTTCTGCTGGTGCTGGTGCTGGTGCTGCCGGGGGTGGTGTGGGGGGTTCGTTTGTGCTGGTGGCGAAGGATCGCACGCTGACAAGGCCGTATAATTGGTACAGGACGGGGGTTACGACGGACGAGCAGACGCGCATCGGCGCGTGGATCATGATGGGCAGCGTGGTGCCGTTCATCATCATGCAGATCCCCCTCATGGACGGCGCCAGTGGCGAGTACTACGAGCAGCAGTCGCGCATCGCCGCTCTCCTTGGGCTGCTGCTGTCGTTTGCGGGGCTTGTGGCATACTGCGCGTACCAGGTGCGTGGGTGGGAATTGTTTGTGAGGGTTGCGGAGTGCAGTAGGGGCGCCCGTGCTTGCATGCGGCGTACCAGGTGAAGGGTTGTGTGGGGGTGGGGAGAGAGTAGGTGTGCGTATGCGCGCGTGCACTCCCTGCGCACCGTGGCCATCCTTGACCTGCACCACCTCGCGCTCAAGAACACCTGGGGCGGCCTCGTGCGGTCCCCGGCTCTCCCACTTCCTGCCACAGATCTGCCACTTGCCATGGGGTTACCTTACTCCCCACTCCCTTCCCCCAACTCCCCATTCCTGAACCCCTGCACAACCCTCTCAACTCCCCACCACCCCCTTTCTCCCCACCCCACCCCCCTCCCCGCAGGTGCTGTCGCCCTGGCTGCAGGCGAGCAAGATCCAGTACGCGCGCGTGCACTACCTGCGCACCATGGCCATCCGCGACCTGCACCACCTCGCGCTCAAGAACACCTGGGGGGGCCTCGTTCGCCCCGACGGCTCCCCTGATCGCGACACGCTGCACAAGGTGTTCCGGCACTTTGACGAGGACGGCAGCGGGTCGCTGTCTCGCAGTGAAATCAAGGGGCTGATTCTCGGCCTCGGCATCCAGAACCAGGTACGCGGGGGAGTGGGACGGGTGGGAAGGGTGGGTGGGATGGATGGAGGGGTGAACGGGGCGGGTGAGGAGGAGGTTGAATGGGAGGGATGTGGGGGAGGGGGGTTTGGGAAGAGGGGTAGGTGGGTGGGATAGGGAGGATGGGGTGGGAGTAGTGGCGGCTCCCCCGACCATGAAACGCTCCACAAGGTGTTTCGGCACTTCGACGAGGACGGCAGCGGGTCACTGTCTAGGAGTGAAATCAAGGGGCTCATTCTTGGCCTTGGCCGTGGAGGGAGAGAGGTGAAGGAGGGGGGGGGGCGGGGAGAGGGGGGGAGGATGAGGGGGATCGGGGAGGAGGAAGGATGGAGTAGGGAGGGTGGGTTTGGAGCTAGAAGGCTGATTGGTCGTTTTCTTGTGCTCCTTTGGTTATTTCTCGTTTCTACTTCTTATCCTTCTTCGTTTTCTTCATCTTCTTCTTCCTCCTTCTTCGTCAAGTGTTCTTCCATTTCGTAGAAATCAATTTTCTGTAGCTGCCTCGTTTCCTCTCCTCAGGGCGTTGGGCTTCATATAGCAGAAGCTGTTTCAGTGTTCTTGTCGCACCGTTACACATCCACACATATCAACCATTTCTCCCCTCCTCTCCTTTTCCCCTCCTTTCTTCATCTCTCCTCCCCCGGCTGTCCCTCCCTCCTGCTGCTCCCCATGCTGCTCCTGCGTCGGCAACATGGGACACAACCCAACTCAACTCAACGCATCGCGACTGAACAAAAAACGCTATGCAACGCTACCCAACGCTACGCAACGCACCGTTACCCAATGCAACGCAACGCAACGGCGCCGTGCAGGGAGACGTGCCACCGGAGGCGCAGATCCATGAGTGGATGAGAGACTTTGACAGCAACTCCGACGGCGAGATCGGTGAGGTACGTGCTGGCCCTACTGCCTCTCTCTCTCCTCCATGCCTCTTGTCCCCCCACCTCGTCCCGCCCAACCCCACACATACCACCGTTTTCTGATCCGAGGTGTCATGAGAGGGGCATACATGGTAGGCACCAGGTACTCTCTCTTGCTGTGATTCTGTTGAGGTTCTGGTGGGGCCTGACCGCCCAAAGGAGAAGTCCGGGAAAACAGCACAAGTATGAGTCCATGTTTGTGGACGACTGTGTTACCAACGAAGGGCGTCTTAGGCCTCACAAGCATAGTCGCCGCTTTCTGGCGAAGCCTGATGGGCACCCTTATTTGGAGTCCCCACTAGCGGATGTGAAGAGAAATGTACCCCCTCCCACCCTTGGTGTGCGTGTGGAATGGTGTGCGTGTGGAATGGTGCGCGTGTGGAATGGTGTGCGTGTGGAATGGTGTGCATGTGGAATGGTGTGTGTGTGGAACGGTGTGCGTGTGGAACGGTGTGCACGGCTCTCGCAGGAGGAGTTTGTGCATGGCATGGAGCGATGGATGGCACAGTTCGGAGGCGGACCAGGAGGCGCAGGCAAGCACAGGCGCAGGCAATCATCCACCAAGTGAGCCCCACGCACATCTCACCATCTTGCAGTGCTGCTATCTCGCTGTCTTGCTGTCCGGCAATCTTACTGTTGTGATATGGTCCTGTCTTGTTAGCTGACTAACTCACTGTCTGACTATTTTGTTATCTTGTTATCTTACTATCGCACAATATCAATATCCCACTGCTCTGCTGTCCCGCTGTCTTACGACCTCACAAACTCACCATCTCACCATGTGTGAAACCAGTCTGGAGAGCATATTGGACGGGCATGTGGACACGGCAAAGGTGCATCTGGAGGGGCTGGAGGACTCACTGCTGGACGAGCAGGAGGGCGATGATGATGACGACGACGAGGACGAGGAAGCACCCAAGACGCCCGCTGAGATCTACCGCCAGGTGCATCTGCCTGCCTTCAGCCTGCTCTCAGGTGCTGCTCTCAGGGGCGGTCAGGTGCTCGCAGGTGCTCTCATGTGCTCTTAGGTGACATCAGGTGCTCTTGCTTCCCTCCCACTTCCTTCTACCTCTTGCGCTTCCTCCCTTCTCTATCTGGTCACCCCCTTTCCCATCCTCGCACCCGTTCTCCCTCTCTCTCAATCTCGCTCGCTCGCAGGCCATTATAAAGATAGTTGGGGGAGCGCTGCTGGTGACAGTGTTTGCTGACCCTGTCGTGGATTCCATCACCTCCTTCTCCAAGTGGGTTCCTCTCTCACTCTTCCTCAGCGCCTTACTAGCCCTCCTCATCTGGCCCTCTGTTTGTCCCTCTCTGCTCCACTTATCATTCCAAAGCGACTGTTCTTTTCACTCATGCCCCGGCTTGCGCCCAACCACCTTTGAAAGCGTCAGTCTCCAATTATCTCCCCTTGTTGGCTGTATGTCCGTACACATGCTTGCGTCCTTGCCATGCCATATCACATTACATCATATCATATGATCTCGTTTCATTACATGCTTGCGCCCATGCGGCAGGGCGTCGCACATCCCGGCGTTCTTCGTGGCGTTTGTGGTGACACCGCTGGCGTCCAACGCGAGTGAGCTCATCTCGTGCCTCATCTTCGCCATGAAGCGCCGCAAGCGCACCATCTCACTCACCTACTCGCAGGTCTACGGCGCCATCTCCATGAACAACACCATGTGAGTTGCGCTTGTCCCAGCCCATCGCGTCCTTGCTTTCAGACCTCAAATTCGCAGGTTCTAACCATGATAGTTCCAAGAACAGCTTGCGGCTGTTCCTCACGCGACTTCTACCATCTGATCCCGATCCCAATACCTAGCAGATGTGTCTACTCGCTCTCTCCAAGGTCCTCAACTTCCCATGCATTATTCCATTCCCATCCAACCAGGTGTCTGGGCACGTTCCTCGCACTGGTGTACTTCCGCTCGTTAAACTGGCAGTTCAGTGCAGAGGTCACAATCATTCTGCTCAACACTTTCATTATCGGCATTCTCGGCGGCACCCGGCGCACCTTCCAGACCTGGCTTGCCTTTCCCGTTCTCGCGCTCTATCCGCTCTCGATTCTGATCGTTGCGTTCCTAGATTATGTCTTAGGCTGGAATTAGGCATGTTGGCGGGAGAGAATACGGAACGTTCAACCAGGGTTGATGCTCTTGCTGATTAGTCTAGTTTCGGTAGCAGGAGTGGTGTTTTTCTGCTGGTGATACCAAGCTGTTCTTAGGCATCCAATAGGCAGGATACCGTAAATAACAATCATGTTTTGCGTCGTGTGTTTTGGGCTGTGTGATGCTTGTTTATGTTAGAGCACTTTTGGAACAGATTGAAACAAAGAAAGAATGTTTTACCGTTCCGTATATGAAGCATTCAAGTGATAAATTCGATAGTTGTAGTAACGCATGTCGCCCTGATAAGTGACGAACAAAAAACTTCCCCATCTGAATCCACTTTCTCCGAAGCTCGTCCACCTCAGTCAGGGCCCAAAATATCAGGGTAAAACGCCCTGATTACCCTGGGGGTCGGCCGTTTTTTCAGGATTACCCTGCCAAAATCAGGAATGCGAGATAGTTAACATGTTTTTTTTTTTTACCCTGACTGGTTTTAAGGTTAGCCTGATGGAATCAGGGTGTGGTGTACACTACCCTTTTACCGAAACTATTCTTACGCGAATCAGACCACAGTCCGCTTTGTGACAAAATGTACCACACCCCCACAAACACCGGTTGTCGCTTGTGCCCACGTGCAAAACAATGCTTCGCTGTCGGCAACGCGCCATGTTGCATTATTTGTTGTTTCTCCCGCAGGGCTGCCAACTCATTCTCGAATCTTGCCACCCGTCGCCACGCCCATCAGAGCTTCACAGACTCAGTTTGTAGAAGATGTAGGCAGTGGGGGTGGCACTGAGTAAGTGTGTAGTTCATATGTGTCTTTTGTAGAGTTAATCGACTTTGGGTGTATTACATTATTTATGGTTTTATTAAACCCGCAGCTCACAAAACTGTAACCAAAACAGGGTTGGCCCAAATCTACCCTGCTCCAATCAGCCTAGTGCCTGAGTTACCCTGCTGAAATCAGGCTACGGAAAATTCTACCCTAGGGGTCTGTTCTAGGAGGGGCTGGTACCCTGATTTGTAAGAGTAGGCCTAAACCAATTTTGGGCCCTGACCTCAGTCCGCCGACAACCTCAAAGGCGACGTTCGCCGTGTCATGCAAACCCAAACCATAGCTTTTGGCCCCGTCTCGCCAATTGGCTAATACTTCTGGAGCTGGTCCGAACCGCCAGGTGCGTCCGCCCGCCTTCAGCCTGCTATTAGGTGCTGCTCTCAAGGGCGGTCAGGTGCTCGCAGGTGCTCTCGTGTGCTCTCGGGTGATATCATGTGCTCTTGGCCGCTCTCATGTGCTCTCAGATGCTCTCAGATGCGCTCAGGTGCCTGCAAGTGTTTTTATGCTAAGTCAGCAACTGGTCTAAGTTATCCAGGGGGGGTCTAAATTAATATGGAGGGGTCTAAGTTAATCCGGGGGGGTCTAAGTTAATCCGGGGGGGTCTAAGTTAATCCGGGGGGGTCTAAGTTAATCCAGGGGGGTCTAAGTTAACCCGGGGGGTCTAAGTTAATCCGGGGGGGGGGGGGGGCTTAGTTAATCCAGGGGGGGTCTAAGTTAATCCATTGGGGTCTAAGTTAACCCAGGGGGGTCTAAGTTAATCTGTGGGGGGTCTAAGTTAATCCAGGGGGTGTCTAAGTTAATCCAGGGGGTCTAAGTTAACCCAAAGGGGTCTAAGTTAATCCGGGGGGGTCTAAGTTAATCCGGGGGGGTCTAAGTTAATCCAGGGGGGTCTAAGTTAACCTAGGGGGGTCTAAGTTAATCCGGGGGGGGGGCCTTAGTTAATCCAGGGGGGGTCAAAGTTAATCCAGGGGGGTCTAAGTTAACCCAGGGGGGTCTAAGTTAATCCGGGGTGGCCTAAGTTAATCCAGGGGGTCTAAGTTAATCCAGAGGGGTCTTAGTTATTCCGGAGGGGTCTAATTTAATCCGGAGGGGGACTAAGTTAATCCAGGGGGGTCTAAGTTATCCCAGGGGGGTCTAAGTTAATCCGGGGTGGTCTAAGTTAATCCAGGGGGGTCCAAGTTTATCCAGGGGGTCTAAGTTGATCCAGGGGGGTCTAAGTTAATCCGCGGGGGTCTAAGTTAATCCGGGGGGGTCTAAGTTAATCCAGGGTGGTCTAAGTTAACCCAGGGGGGTCTAAGTTAATCCGGGGTGGTCTAAGTTAATCCGGGTTGGTCTAAGTTAATCCGGGGGGAGGTTAATCCAGGGGGGTCTAAGTTAATCCAGGGGGGTCTAAGTTAATCCAGGGGGTTCAAAGTTAATCCGGGGGGGTCTAAGTTAATCTGGGGGGGTCTAAGTTAATCCAGGGGGGTCTAAGTTAACCTAGGGGGGTCTAAGTTAATCCGGGGGGGGCCTTAGTTAATCCAGAGGGGGTCTAAGTTAATCCAGGGGGGTCTAAGTTAACCCAGGGGGGTCCAAGTTAATCCGGAGTGGTCTAAGTTAATCAAGGGGGTCTAAGTTAATCCAGGGGGGTCTAAGTTAATACGAGGGGGTCTAAGTTAATCCGAGGGGGGGTCTAAGTTAATCCAGGGGGATCTAAGTTATCCCAGGGGGGTCTAAGTTAATCCAGGGTGGTCTAAGTTAATCCAGGGGGGTCTAAGTTAATCCAAGGGGTCTAAGTTAATCCATGGGGGTCTAAGTTAATCTACGGATGTCTAAGTTTATCTGGGGGGGTCTAAGTTAATCCAAGGGGGTCTAAGCTAGCCCAGGGGGGTGTAAGTTAATCCTGGGGGGTCTAAATTAACCCAGGGGGGTCTAAGTTAACCCAGGGGGGTCTAAGTTGATCCGGGGTGGTCTAAGTTAATCCAGGGGGGTCTAAGTTGTCTAAGTTAATCCAGGGGGGTCTAAGTTAATCCGCGAAGGTCTAAGTTTATCCGAGGGGGTCTAAGTTAATCCAGGGGGGTCTAAGTTAACCCAGGGGGATCTAAGTTAATCCAGGGGGGGGGTCTAAGTTAATCCAGGGGGGTCTAAGTTAGTCTAGGGGGTCTAAGTTCACCCAAGGGGGTCTAAGTTAATCCGGGTTGGTCTAAGTTAATCCGGGGTGGGGGGTGGCTTAGTTAATCCAGGGGGAGTCTAAGTAAATCCATTGGGGGTCTAAGTTAACCCAGGGGGGTCTAAGTTAATCTGTGGGGGGTCTAAGTTAATCCAGGGGGGGTCTAAGTTAATACAGGGGGTCTAAGTTAACCCAGGGGGGTCTAAGTTAATTCGGGGGGGTCTAAGTTAATCCGGGGGGGTCTAAGTTAATCCAGGGGGGTCTAAGATAACCTGGGGGGGTCTAAGTTAATCCGGGGGGGGGGCCTTAGTTAATCTAGGGGGGGTCTAAGTTAGTCCAGGGAGGTCTAAGTTAACCCAGGGGGGTCTAAGTTAATCCGGGGTGACCTAAGTTAATCCAGGGGGTCTAAGTTAATCCAGAGGGGTCTAAGTTAATCCGGAGGGGTCTAATTTAATCCGGAGGGGGTCTAAGTTAATCCAGGGGAGTCTAAGTTATCCCAGGGGGGTCTAAGTTAACCCAGGGGGGGTCTAAGTTAGTCCGGGGGGGGTCTAAGTTAATCCAGGGGGGGGTCTAAGTTGATCCAGGGGTGTCTAAGTTAACCCAGGGGGGTCTAAGTTAATCTGGGGTGGTCTAAGTTAATCCGGGGGGGTCTAAGTTAATCCAGGGGGGTCTAAGTTAACCCAGGGGGGTCTAAGTTAATCCGGGATGGTCGAAGTTAATCCAAGGGGGGTCTAAGTTAATCCAGGGGGGTCTTAGTTATCCCAGGGGGGATCTAAGTTAATCTAGGGGGGGGTCTAAGTTAATTCTGGGGGCTCTAAGTTAACCCAGGGGGGTCTAAGTTAATCTAGGGGGGTCTAAGTTAACCCAGGGGGGCCTAAGTTAATCCGGGGTGGTCTAAGTTAATCCAGGGGGTCTAAGTTAATCCGGGGGGGTCTAAGTTAATCCGGGGGGGTCTAAGTTAATCCGGGGGGGGGGTCTATGTTAATCCAAGGGGGTCTACGTTAACCCAGGCGGGTCTAAGTTAATCCGGGATGGTCTAAGTTACTCCAAGGGGTCTAAGTTAATCCAGGGGGGTCTAAGTTAACCCAGGGGGGTCTAAGTTAATCCGGGGTGGTCTAAGTTGATCCAAGGGGTCTAAGTTAATCCAGGGGGGTCTAAGTTTATCCGGGGGGGTCTAAGTTAATCCGGGGGGGGGGGGGGGGGTCTAAGTTAATCCAGGGGGGTCTAATTTAACCCAGGGGGGTCTAAGTTAATCCGGGGTGGTCTAAGTTAATCAAGGGGGGTCTAAGTTAATCCAGGATGTCTAAGTTAATCCAGGGGGCCTAAGTTCATCCGCGGGGGTCTAAGTTAATCCGGGAGGGTCTAAGTCAATCCAGGGGGGTCTAAGTTAACATAGGGGGGTCAAAGTTAATCCAGGGGGGGGGGGTCTCAGTTAATCCAGGGGGGGGTATAAGTTAATCCAGGGGGGTATAAGTTAACCCAGGGGGGTCTAAGTTAATCCGGGTTGGTCTAAGTTAATCCGGGGAGGTCTAAGTTAATCCAGGGGGGTCTAAGTTAACCCAGGGGGGTCTAAATTAATCCGCGGCGGGCCTTAGTTAATCCAGGGGGGGGTCTAAGTTAATCCATGAAAGGGTTGCGAGCATCATTGGTCATCGGCCCTTGAGAATGAAGAGCGCCCGCTGCACTTCCTCCACATGTGCAAATCCTAGCGCGTTTTGAGGCTAGAAGCGCTCGCAGTGAGCGTTTTTCTTCCACCAAGTCACATGGCTGCGCTTGTCTAGGCCTCTTACCAAGCCAGCAAGGGCGTGGAAGGGTTGCAAGCATCATTGGTCATCGGCCCTTGAGAATGAAGAGCGCCCGCTGCACTTCCTCCACATGTGCGGATCCTAGCGCGTTTTGAGGCTAGAAGCGCTCGTTCTGAGCGTTTTTCTTCTACTAGGTCACGTGGCTGCGCTTGTCTAGGCTTCTTGCCAAGATAGCAAGTGCGTGGAAGGGTTGCGAGCATCATTGGTCATC